GAAGAGCAGGAGGGGATTTACAATTGCCATCAGTGTGGACATATCCAGTGCATTAGCACGAGCTTCCTAGAGGTCCTTTGTCTGGATAAGCCACAGTTTAATTGATGAGACTTATTGACGGGCATTGAGATGGCCGGAGTCCAAACTTTCAATGCAGCAAGGAACGACTTTAATCTGCAGTCTAGAAGTCAGGTATCCATGATGTAGATGTGGCATCAGAAAGCATGTATGTTTCAGAATGTGATCTGAGTATGATCTCTTCTAAACCACTGAATGAATCATCTGAAAGAGGCCTTTCTTCTATGTAGTCACACCAAGAATCCAACACCAAGTGGTTACTTACCATGACCTTTTCATGGAAAATCTGTAGGGTTTGCACCCACCACAATATGCTTGTGGACACTGGCATTCACTGTGTTGTCCACAGTTTATGCAGCATCTTCTGATCTAAGCTGAACTGTTTAGACCCAAATTCATTTATATGAATTAGTTTTACTGTTGAAGACATTAACTCCTCAGGTTTTATTCCATCTTTTTAGAATTGCAGATGGAATTTCCCACACACACCCCCACCCATGAAAGTTTTACATTTGAGAACATCTTATTGAATGTTAGTGTCTTAATTAGGGTTTCTCTTGCTACAATGAAACGCCATGAGCAAAAACCACATTGGGAAGGAGAGAGTTCAGGTGACTTATACTTCCACATTGCTGTTCATCACCAAAGGAAATCAGGACAGGAACTCAAGCAGAAACCTGGAGGCAGGAGCTGATGCAGAGGCCATGAAAATGTGCTGCTTAGTAGCCCATGGCTTGCTCAGTATGCTTTCTTATAGATTCCAGAACCACCAGCCCAGGGATGACACCACTCACAACAGCCTGAGCCCTCCCTCATTGATCATTAATTAAGAAGATGCCTTATAGCTGGATCTCATGGAGGTATTTTCTCAATTGAGGCTCCTTCCTCTTTGATGATTCTAGCTCGTATCAAGTTAACATAAAACCAGACAGTACAGTTAGCCACCAATTAAGTTGTTGCTTTATGTTCTCTGGTTTCTGAAAAGTTCAAAAAAAAATCTATTCCAAGATTTTCTATGTAATGTTTTATGCTGGTGTGTTCCCAGCTTCCTTTGCACATCCTTACATTCTTCTGGAATTTACTTTAGAGTAGGATGCTCATCCAGCTTCTTCTTCTATATAGCTAGTGACATAGTTCCACCAAGAACTTTCTTTAAGTCCCTGGCTGCATTTCTGTCCCTTCCTGTCTTCCTGGTCATTTCTGTGACCCAGCTGCTGCTGGGACCACAGGACCACTTATGTCTGTGACTGTAGCTCCACAATATGCTTTACCACCCCACAAGGCAAGTCCTCCCCAGTGACTCAGGCTTTTCAGAGTTTGTGCAATCTCTCCTTTATATTTATTTGTCCAGATGAGCCTTTTGATCAGATCATAATTTTAAAAATCAAATAGACTGAGACTAAACTTTCTATGTGCAGTATCGACAGTAACATTTCCCATACGTGGTTTCAAAGATAGGAATTAACAAATATTTTCTGTCTAAGACCAGACAGTGAATATTTTGGTATTTGCAAGCTGTATATTTTCTCTGTGTTACAACCATGGATGTCTGCCAGCAGCATGCATTAAATTGCCTGACTGAGTGTAAAATAATGATCATGCTCAGGAAAATCTTAAGAAAACAACGAGAAAAACAATGGAATATTCCTTTTCCATAAAAAGAAATGGAGACAAGCTTGAAAATATTACACCAAGTAGGAAAATCACATACAAAGGATCATATAAAATATGTGAATTAAAATACTTGAAATATCCAGAAGAGATCAGTCCAGTAGATATAAGGCAGAATGGTGTTGACCAAGAGGAAGAAAGAGGAAGAAGTAACTATTTTACAAATAAAGTCAGGCAGTAGTGGTACATGCCTTTAGTCCCAGCAGAAGGCAGAAGCAGGAGGATCTCTGTGAGTTCAAGGCCTCTAGTTTAATCCAAGCGTGATAAAAATTAAATAAACAAGTAAATGCCAGGATGAATGAGTCAGGGTAGGCTTGGCTGAGTAACAAACACCCCTCCAAGTCTTGAGCGATCAACACACAAATTAGTTCCTGTCTATCTAACAGTACAATCAAGCTAGAGGAACAGTTCCTTGCAGAAATCTTTCTGTTGGGGAACTGACTCCAGCATGCTCTTTGACTAGCTTATTTCAAATTGTAAGGTGTTTATAGTTTAAAAAGCAGAAAAACAATCAGAAGGTCTGCATGGGACCTTCTCTGGCAAGGAGAACCCAGTACTGATGGCTCTGGTCTGAGAACTAAGGGACTCTCAGGGCTGAGGATTCTTCAGGGACCGTCTGGATAGGATATTATAGCCAGGTACAGAGGAATGCTAGGAGGAGATGCAGCTGCTGTTCTTTGAAGCACATCCTCGTGATGGTGACAATTCCTTCTGTATTCCCTCTGCCCATCTTCATGGACTCATCTAACAGCAAGAGACACAGAGCAGCTGGTCAACGTTGCTCTGTTATGGGAAGGAAGAACTGATTGGGATGCACAGTCAGAGTTTTTACATATTTTAAATGCAGCTGCCTCTCAGTATCCAAGAGGGTTGATTTTAAAACCACCACACCTCCCCCTATAGATATAAAAACCTAAATATGTTCAAGTACCTTACATGAAATTGCATAGCACAGAATTTCCATATGTCCTCCTAAATACACGGATCATGTCTGAATGACTTACAAGGCTCAGTACAAGCAGACCCTGTGAAAATGATGGATTCGACATTTTACTTAAGGGAAGGGAATATGGGAAAGCCTGTTACCTAGGGGACAGTGATGTGGAAAAGTCTACATGTGTTTTACACTGATACAGGTTGTTTTTTTTTTTTCCTCAAGTAGTTTTAATACCAGGCTGTTAAATCAAGGTTGTAGAGTTCATGAATAGAAAGCTGACCATACATTAAAAGGTGACACAACGGGGTTACTTGTATATTCTATCAAACTATGACCTTTTCAGAGTTACAAGAGCCTAAGGAAGTGCAAATTAGACCTTTTTCTATGTAGAAAAAATATCAAAATAAAAATTGCATGGTCAAGATACATATTATATTCAGTGAAGGGCTTTAGAAGATATTTTTGTTTTGTTTGACTTGCTTCTAAAGAAAATTTGGTTTAAGTAAGGCAAGGCAAGTTGATCCATAAGTAAGAATTTTTAATGAGGAGTTTCAAGGAAATACCCAAAAATGAGTAAATGGCCAGTGAGCATTAGGGAAGAAACTGAAGATGAATTGATAAGAAGATTTCCATGAGTGGAATCCAGAAGGTATCAGTCAAACAGTTTAGAGGTCCTTGGGTGGCTAAGAATGTTCCTTCAACAAGAAAGAAGATCATTATTTAAACAAGAAGAAACCATGATCAAAAAGATGTCTGAACCACACAATGGGAACAAGGATGGTTTTATCCAAAGACAGTGCTTCCAAAAGTGTATGTCTGCATGCAACCATGTACAGAACTCTGCCTGACTTTATACATAACTGACACAGAATCCCATTCCCCATTCTTGGCTTTGACCCCAAGCAATGAGAGCAAAAATAGTCACGTAGAACCACATCATACAAAAATTCTGCACAGCATAAAGAAGATGATCCGCACAGCACAGAGACAATATGTAGACTGATTGAAAAAGAGACCTTCAAGGCATATATTTAGTCAGAAATTATTACGAAGAACATGAAAACTACAATGCAGTAACAACAACAAGGGTTAGGGGTATAGCTCATAAGTTGCCTGGAAATTCAGAAGCCCTGGGTTCTATCACCAACACTATACAAGTCCAAGCATGGTGGCACATGCTACATGCGAGGCACAGTTAGGGAATCAGAAGTTCAAGGTCATCTTCAATTATATAGTAAATTTGAGGCCAATTATATAATAATATTGAGGCTACGTGACACCATGTCTAAAATAATAATAATTAATGATGGTGATCATGATGATGATAATGATAATAAACCTGACTGAGGAATAAGCAAATACCTTGAGTTAAGAGTTCCCTCTATACAGATGACTGATGAACACAGGGAAAGATACATCAGTTAGTCATCAGAGATATGCAAATCAAAACTGCATACCCACAACAGAATGACCCTGTGAAGAAAAAGAGAAGGCAGGGTGACAAGGATGTGTAGAATCTAGGATCTTGTGGATCATCAACAGGACTTCAAAATAGTGTGGCACCTCCATAAGACAGGATGGTGACTACTCAAAAGATTCAAAAATGAATGATCATAAGCCCTGCTTCTCGCTTCTGGGTGCACATGCAAGAGCTAGAATTGTGATCTTAAAGAGACAGTTTATTCCTGTGGTCAATGAATATCCTTTTCAAGAGCCTTGAAATATAAGCCGCCAATGTTAGTTAGAAGACAAATGATCAAGCCTGACAGAAACCTGTGATGGAACACCGCACGGACTTTAGATGGAAGATCTCAGTGCATGGTACAACGTGAATTAGCCTTGAGGCAACTACGCTATGTGAAGAACAAACGCACAAATACTAAATGGCTCAAATAACACTGAAAATTATAAAACGCGGAGACAGAAAGTCAACAGGGGTAGGGGGAGAGCTGGTGACAAAATAAAGTAGAAAGTTGAATGGAGTGGAATTATTTTGTTGCCAGTGAAATTTATGTACCCTGAGGTCATCTCATTCACAGCTCCCCTCTCCATTCCCAGGCTGCCAGTTGCCAGGACTTGAGACAGGAAGGTGTTAGCAGGATGCACCTCTGTACAGATGTGTTTGATCTATTGTCTTTTAAGATATCAGGAGGGGAAAAAAATCTATGTTTCCAAAGTGCCAAATCTCACCTTGTCTGGTAAATATTCTTTCTTATCCCATTCTGTATCTGGAGTTTGTGATCCTTGAAACTGCCAGTGGCTTATTCTTCAGTCATGGTTCCCTCACGATGAAGAAACTGTTACTCTGTAGATGGCCCTGGGCACCAAGGACAGTTCTTCTAGATCAGTGTCAACAGGTGAGGAAGAGAATCACCAGGGTGGACTCTTGGGAAGACTTCTGTAGAGCCTAGAAAGGAAGAGACCACAAAAAAAAAGAGGGTGAAACCATCATTTCTTCAATGAAATGTGTAGTTTTGGATTGTTCAAAACTTACTTTGATATGGGCTCTTAACACTTCAACCTCTCTTCTAACCTATCACCCACCAGAGATAAGGAACATAAATGGCTAATAGGACAAAGGGGATATGGACCTGTTTAGACCAGTCTTTGTTGTCACTATCAAAACTGAAGTGGAAATGTCTGGTTTCCTTTAGAAACTCAGTTATGTCATATGATGTTTTATTGGGGCAGAGAAGTGAAAGGATGTTTTGCTGAAGCAGACACAGGTGAAGGGATGTTTTGCTGAAGCAGACATGTGAAAGAATATTGAAGCAGACACACTAAAGAATGTTTTGCTCGAGCAGACACAGGTGAGAGAATGTTTTGCTGAAGCAGACGTGTGAAAGGATATATAATGTTTAAAAAGAATATAAATATGACCCCACAGACAGTGGGAGGAGACTTTTGCATTGCTCTGCCTCACTGGTCTTCCGCTGATGACGCCCTGTTATTGGTTCACCTTCCATCATGTCGCTGATCTTAGCTTGTGGTAACTTCATAAACAGTAACTCACCAAAGAACTTCACATGATATTTCTGCAGCTTCTTGTTGCCTCCATAGATTTGTGCTGATTGGTAGAGCCTTGCTGTTTCTTCTGGATTGAACTGCCATTGTTGATTTGTGAGGGGTGATCACCGACTGGACTGGACTGCAGCTGCTGATTTTGTTGGTGTTTTACTAGAGGATTGGATGGCTGGCAAGGAAGACTGGAATAGCCCCAAAGAATGATTTCTAAACAGGTCCGCCCCCTGCCCTGTTTACTATTAACCTTTTTTTTTTACTACCTCTAGTGGGTAGTGGGCTAGAATGGAAGTTGAAACATTTAAGAACCCTTATTAAATCAGGTTTTGAAAAATCTAAGCCAACACAAAACAACCACGAGACTTTGCCAATCAGAATGAGTCAGCTAAAGCATCAAGGAGCAGCTGAAACACCACCAGAAGTTCTTTGGTACATTTCTGTCTACGAAGTCATGACAAGCAATGCTTGGCAAAGAAAGCAAGGTGAATCCAGAGTATCCTCAGAGAAGATCAGCAAGATGAACCAATGCCAGAGCATCATCCACTGTCTGTTGGGTTATATTTATATACTTTCCAAACATCACATGTCCTCTCAAGCATCCACTCCAACAAAATATTACATGCCCTTTCATCAGGCAGCTTCCAAAAACACAACATGCCTTTTCTCAACAAAACATCCTCTCATAAGACAGCTTCCAGAAAAACATCATATGACACAACTGAGTTTCCAACAATACCAGGAATTCTCACAG